AAAAGATGGGGCAATAGTAGCCATAGATCAATAGTAATTAATTATATAAAATACAATGTATATGAATGACTATATGAAACACAACATAAATGAAAGATTATATAAAATACAATGTACAAGAATAAAACACAATGTATATTAGTTATTGTACACATAGAAATAAAAAAAATTATAAAAGGCTAGTCCTGTAAATAACTCAACTATTTCCTTTTATAGATAATTGGAAGATATCTAGAAAGTCAGGTGGGGAGAAACAATGAAAGTCAAGAAACCCAAGGTCCATTACTAATTGTTTGATCTTAGTAAAATCCTCAATCTCTTTAAACCTGAATATGTCAAAAAAGGAAAATTGTATCAACTTCTTATTATAGAATCAAATAACAAAAGGTATTTACAAATTTTTCTCTGAGAAAAAGCAGTACAGAAATTCTGGTTACCAGTAACTGAGTGACACAGAGTCTGACAGGAGAGTGAGGTCACAAGCCCAGAAGTGAATCCTAGTACATTATGTTTTCCACTTTATCAATGGTTATATTCTCTTCTCCAGTGGAACCTTGTTCTCCTTTTGTCTTCTCCTTTCACATAAGATGTATAAGGAAAGTTTAACACTTTGAAACATAATCTTGTTTTTAACAACTTTTCTTTCTCATTTGTTCTAATGTTAATCTCTACTTTCAGTAAATATTTTTTAGAATTATGCTTATAATTAAACACTTTAAACTTACAGATGTATAGCTCACTTAATTGGAAGACATGTAGGTATATGAGAGTAAATACATGTTTTCTGAATAGAAATTAGTTAAATCATCTAAGAAGTTGTTTTTGTTGTTGCTGTGTGTTGTTAAGTCAGAACCAACCCATAGCTGACAGAAGTCATTGGGTAAAGAGTGAAAAAGGAAAAATCATTGCTGTGAAATCAGAATCAACTTATACTTGATCCTCCAGCAGGTTTTCCAAGGTTATAAACTGCATGGGAGGAGACTGCTTGTCTTCCTCCCTTGGAGCTGCTAGTGGATTAGAACTATATGACATGCATGGCCTTTGGGTTAGCAGTGCAATACCCACCATACTATTCCATCAGAGATCCAACAACAAACAAAATTCACTGCTGAGTCAGAACCAATTCATGGCTGAGCCTCCAGTGGGTGTAAACTGTGCTGTAAATGGCACAGGAAAAGACTATCCATTTTCATCCTGCAAAGCAGCTGGTAGATTCGAACTGCCTGTCTTTGGGCTGGCAATATAACACCCTACTCACTAGTTTACCAGGAAGAGCAAAATTTTCACATTTTTATATTATTCTTTCCATTGATATGAAAGGTTAACTCACTTTTTAGTTTAAATACATGTGTTATAAGTACTAAATTAAACAGTAAGAACTATTGGTAAGAACTACCCTCAATTTTGAAACTCCAGAAAAGGTCTAATCTATTTCAAATGACTGAGAAAGAAAATGTAAGTACTTACAATGCGAGAGTCACACAAAGGAACAAAGGTCCCCATAAATCCCCTAAAAGAAAAAAACAAAAGGTGACTAAGAAAAGCAAACATGTAGTGTTCCTGTATTCCAATACTTATCTCTTCTATTCTTGGAATTCAGAATAAGGTTCGATCAGTCCAAGACAATCTCCCTACTTCTGCTATCCCTATAATTTCCTACTTCTCACTTTTGAATGCATTGTTTTTCTCTTCATATATAAGAAATTTTGTTTACTTCATATGCCACAAATCACCTCTCCTCAACTACTAAACCACGCTTTAACTTAAGCATGCGTCAGTTAAAGATCAACAGAGAAGGAACCCAAAACCTAGAAACCTTACCTCCAATTCACAAGAAAACTACAGCCAAGTCACTTCACCAATATTAGTTCACATTAGACAAAGCAAATATTATCATGCTTATTACATGGAAATAAAAAAAAATGAAGCTGAGAGAGAAATTCAAGGCTATATAAACAGTTGAGAGCTCTGGTGGCATGATCTGTAGTGAGCTGAGCTGATAACCCAAAGGCTTAGTATTTCAAACAGTTTGAACCCATCAGCTGCTCCTCAGGAAAAAGATGTGCAGTTTCTACCTACAGCCTCAGGAAACCAATAGAGGGTCACTATGAGTAGAAACCAACTCAACGGCAGTGAGAGGGTGAAATATAAAACTCAAGGGTGATGTTTTGACCAGAACATGTCTTCTGATTCTGAGTTCTTTCCACTCTACCATATTACTTCCTAATTGTTATATTAAGCCAATAACATAATTGTTATTCTTTTTTTAAATTTTTTTAGATTTTATTTTAATAATTTTAAGAACATTTACAGAGATTTTGGATTTCCAGTCATTCATTGTTGCACTTTTCTCCCTGCCCAGCCCTCCCCCCTGCCCCCCAAAGTTCGCTCCTCTCTTTGAAAAGTAAAAGAAAAATTCTTTCTTTGATATACAATCACCCGCACCCCTTCCACCACCCCAAGAGTGCACTCTACTATGCAACCTTAATTGTGGACTCTTGGGATAACCATAATACCCCATCATACAATTGTTAGTCTTACAAATAGCCCAATATTGGTAATTTCAAAAGATTCAATGTTAACAAATAGATATGAAAGCTTTCTTAAAAAATATAAAAGGTACACCAACATTAAGTCTAGCACAAAATGCCCCTAAACCAATATGAGTGTAGAAACAGTTTACAGTACAATTATTTTTCTGAAATATTCCACATTCAACCTTAATTTCCTATATATACACCATCTTAAGTATGCATATACATATTTTCATTTTGTAAAACTGTCTAAGTAATTATGAAACTATTACAGAAAGCTGAGAAAAGAAGTGAAAAAATTTTAATCCTGTTGTTGTTGTTGTTATGTGCCATCGAGTCGTTTCCGACTCATAGCGACCCTATGCACAACAGCTCTAAACCCTGCTCTATCCTGCGCCAACC